CTGCAGTCGGTGGGAGCATGAACGAAAATCACAAACAAACAGCATTTTGTACTACCTCGTGAATCAACCTTAGCTGATGGCGTCAAACGGGCTGCACATAAACGGCTGTTCACCAGAATCCAATCAACCAACGATGGTTCAGCCTTGGAGCTTGACCCGTGAGCGCTGCATCAGTGTATCCCGATGCGTGTAACCAATAACAAGAGGATGAGCCGAGTGCAGTTAATTCAATAACCACGTTAGGGTCATCGATCCTACACAACACACATCAATACCCAGTGTGTCCAAGGTGCGTTCGAGTGCAGCCTGTTGACCTATTTCTCTCAGAGTGCGAACGTTGAACATCACTACGGAAACAGGACAGCGTGGCCTTATAAGGGATTTTTGCCGATGGGCATCTGATAGGTGTTGTAGAATGGTGGCTGCAGATGGTTCTACTCCAGTGGTACTTTGGTTGCTGTCAATTAAGCTGAGAATTATAGAAGGAAGGCTAGTAATGGGGGTCGGGATGGGAGTAAGTGGACAAGGTAGAAAAGAAAGAAGGGAGGCGCCAGCAGTAGCATGTTTTCGCTTATCCGCCCTGCTGTATGCAGCAGATAAGGCGACCCTTGATAATCTGCGCAACAGCCGATGAAGCATGAAGTTTATGTTTGAAGAAAAAGTCATGGTTGTATGTGGGCTGAGATACTGCCAGGGCGCCCAGACCTAGACGGGAGGACGATTAGGGACCTCATCCAAAGCCTTTGGCTCAAAAGCCTGTTCGCAAGGCAGCGGGGATGTGGCAATGATTTAGTTATACAGAAACGGACGCTATCCAATTTCAAACCCCCAACCTGGGGGACTAGGAGACTGAGTTTGTCTGACCTCGCACTATTGACCAACCTGGTAGGATTAGCTCTCAAGATGCCCGGAGGCACCACCCAGTTTAGCTCCATGGGTCATGGAGGTATGCAAACCGTCGCACCACGTTAAGATCCAGTCTCGTTGAGACAGCCCTTCCCTAATTTAAAATTCTCGTTCTGCAGTGATGCGAAGAACGAGAATGGAGGCCAGTAATCCTAGGTAGAAATTCGTTACATCTAGACTCATTCAGGCAACCATCACATGCCCTCAAAAGCACTGTACGGCCGGTTCATCATTTTGTGAATCGTCAGCAGTGTGCATCCCCCCTGATCCTTGTAAAGCTCGAACCCGCAACTCGACTGTTGTCAGTCTGTGGTTAAGACCACTGAGCTACGGGGGACGGAAATAACCGTCGTGAAAAAGTTCCTGGATGTGATATAGCGCCGCTCACTATCCCCTGAGTCGCACGTTACTACCGTACAGAGAACAGGGTAGTCCCCTGTCTTCGCTTCGCTGCAGCGCAACCACCACCGGTCGCATGTGGGCTAAGGATACTGCGAAAGTCTCCCTGCCCTTACGCAGGCTCGAACCCGCGCCGCGTCGCTAGTTTGTGGGTGCATAAGCAGCGATGACAGACAGACACATGTTAGTCCCACGCGGCTTCGAAGCTTTGAACAAGCTAGCCAATCGGACCACACACAACCGGTTACTGACTAGAATCCAGTCAACCAGGGTATTAGCCTAACGCCAGTTGTAACAAAATTCCTGGCCTCGATTCTCGTTCGTTGCCTCTTTGTGGAACGGGAATCTCGCATTAGGGAAGAGCAGGCCGGTTTCCACCCAGGGCGTGGCTGTATAAACCATATATTCACTTTGCGGCAGGCGCTAGAGCAGCGCAACGCATGCTGCAAACCGACAATAGCTGTGTTCCTTGATTTCAAGACTGCATTCGATTCAGTCAATCGATCGATTATGTTCGGAATACTTGCGCGAAAAGGTGTTCCCACGAAATTTGTGTGAACATCCTTCGTGCTCTATACTCGAACACTACAGGTCGCGTCAAGGTCTATGGTGGCCTATCGGATAGCTTTCTGTCCACAAATGGTGTTCGTCAGGGTTGTCCGATTTCCCCATTTTTTGTTCAAGTTCGTCGTGGATTCTATCATGGAGTGTTCCCTTGCGGAATCTCACGATGTAGGCGTTGAAGTGCTGCCTGGTGAAAGATTAGTTGATCTAGATTATGCGGACGATATCGTCTTGCTTTTCGACAATGTTGCGGCGGCACAACCAACCGTGAATAGCCTGTCCAGAGTGGTCCCATTATTTGGTATGTGTTTCGCACCTTCGAAGTGGAAAGTGTTGCTGCAGGACCACAAATGTCACTTTATGACCACTGGACACTTGCTAACGAGGAGCTCGAGGTGGATGATCAATTCACTTATCTAGGTGGCTGCATCAGCAACGATGGGCGCGTAGAAACTGCCGTCAGCTCAGGCATTGCAAAGGCCAGAGCTGCCTTCTTGAACCTGCGGCATCTTTGGCGACAGAAGGGAGTTTCCCTACGTCTGAAAGGCTGTGTATACGAGGCCACAGTGAGGGCCGTTCTGCTCTATGGGAGTGAGACTTGGTCCCTTCGGTCTGAAGATCTGAGGCGCCTTCAACTCTTTAATCATCGTTGTCTGTGAAGCATTGCTGGTGTCGGATGCCGCCAGCGTGTCCGCAACAATGCGGTGCGTAGGCGAGTACTAGATGGTGATAATCATGCTACCTCCTAAGAACAAGATAGCACTGAATAAGTTGCGTTGGCTCGGGCACGTGCTACCTATGCCTGGTCACCGCTTACCTAGGAGGGCCTTGTTTAGTCTAGCAGGTGTTGGGTGGCGCAAGGCTCAAGGTGGACAGAAGTTGACTTGGCAGCGGGAAATGAAGTCACTGACGACCAAACTGGGTGCCGTCGGTCCGTCTCCTCTTTCGGGCTGGAGTCCACGTGACTCGCCTTGTGCTTGGCTCGAGACTTTACACGACAGGGCTCGCAACTGACACCAGTGGCGCGTCTGCTGCCGTCTCCTAATCGGGTTGCCTGTTTCAAGTGTGTTTGCCGCTGAGTTATCTGCGGGGTAATGGCTGATTATGACGCGATGCAGTGAAAGCCGCAAGGAAGCTGTCTCGCCGATGCCGCCTTATCTTTGCACGATAGCCAGCTGTTTGTGACGGTATGTTGTTACACAAGTTGTAGGCTCCTTGACCTTGAGTGTTTGTTTATGGCATTAATGTTTTCCTGGCAAGGCTCCTTTCTCTCCCTCTTATTATCAATCCGCAGGTCGTTATGGTTGTGTGGTAGCGGAGCTCAATTCAGATGCCTCATGTACTGCTGTTGTTGGTTGTAATTGTGTACTAGGTTTTACGGCGTTCTCTTGCAGACGGGCGCTTACCACCTGACAGGAAAGTAGGGATCGTAATGCGCAGCTACAAAGGAGGAAACCGGCATGATCCTGCAAACTATCGACCGATATATCTGGCGTCTGTAATCTGCAGCATCATGGAACGAATCGTCAAACGTACCCTGCACGCTCACTGCAAAAGCCTGTATGCTATCTCCCTCGCCCAGCATGAATTTCGCAGAATACGCTCCTGCATCTTTAGCCTGCTTGTTGCCAGGTATATATGGGTTAAAGCAGTTGGCGACCGGATACACAGGGATATTCTCTACATTGACTTTAGCATGGCTACCCACACGAACGACTTTTGCTTAAACTCCGGGGAATCAGGGTCATTGAAAGCCCCATTTCATGGATTGTGGACTTTTTGAGAGATCGGACTCTTCGAGTAAAAGAGAACCAAACGTTGTCTGGCCTAGTGTGTATAACGAGCGGCGTCCTACGATGCTCTGTCCTTGGGTCGGAACTTTTCAAGCCGTACAGTAATAACCTCCCCGCAGCTCTCCAAGCCGACTGCCTAGTTATGCTGATGATTTCCTACTATGGACAAAAGTATCTAGCCTTGAAGACGCTGACAGACACCAGGGGGCGCTAGACCATCTGCACGATTAGTCCATCAAATGGCAACTCGTAGATCATGACAAATGCGCCGTTTTTCTGATTAACAATCTGGATTCGTTCGGCGCTTAGTAGCTTGGCTGGAATCTTCTCGAAAATGTCACCCACCAGATGGTTCTCGGTGTTATCGTATCATCTGGCCTTAGAACCTCACCCCTGAGGGAGGTTTCGACCGCAAACAGCATGCTGTGTGCTTTACGCAGGTTATTCTCCGTTATCAGGCAATTTTCAGAACTTCAAGCGTTGAGTTCCCTGTATCAGTCTAAACAAAACAGTAAGAAAACGGGCACTGCAAGTTGGTACCATTTCGTGTTATTTTATCACTTGCGTCACATCACATGTTTACCCGATACTTCCAGTTACCTATCTCTCGAAATTTGAACGCGACTTGTTAAAAAGGATTCAAAGATATCGCTCAAAATCTGTCATGGGACTTAGAGATCTTGCTTACTCTCTTCGATTCCGAAAGCCAGGTCGAAAGAAAAGAACGGCATCATCACTACGCCAGTACTCACTACCGAACATCCAGCCGCCTACGAGGTATTTGTTTTGTATTGCAGCCTTCTAATTATATTACTGCCTACGTACACTTCGGAAACGGAAGCTATCGACCCGACGCATATTACATATTTGACGACCCTGCCAATTCTCGACAGCAGTCCTTGGAGCTGGATCGTTGCCCTAAGGCGATCACTAACCGCTGTGACCATACGGCTTTATGCGGTATCTCCAGAACCTAGCATGCTGCACCCATCAGTTGTTTTACACACCACCAGGTCGAAACCGACCAGGGCTTCTGTAGCCGCTGAGGGCAGCGCCTGTCAACAGAGGATGTAACAGGTCGGAGCGTGACCTTGTAGTAATTCATAAGAGATGACCATTGTTTCCTCTTTTTTTGCCTTCCTGCTCGGTTCACAGCCATCACTCGTGCTTACTCTCACCATCAATTCATACCAGGCTCGATCTCATCCACAGCTGTGACAACGGCATCTAGCTCGCCACTATGTGCTAGATGGTCGCACGTTTCATTTAGTGTGGTTTCTTACTGGATGGTTGTGATATGTGCGTCCAGCCGCCTACGAGGTATTTTTTTGTTTCACAGCCTTCCAAGTTTATTACAACCTACTTACACATCGGACACGGAAACTTTCGGAATCCTTGACCCGACGCGTACAGAAGCACAGTCTTTGTGATGCTGGGGAATATATGGTCTACTCGTTTTTCCCCTTCACTTTGGTAAGTTCACATCTTTGTGTATCAAGTCTGACATACATTGTTTTCAGCCCATCCCGATGCGGTATGGCCACTTTGAAGGATATTGCTATCCGGCTCCGATCGGTGAAGAACATCCAAAAGATTACTGCTTCTATGAAAATGGTTTCTACTTCAAAATTTGCCCGAGCAGAACGGGAGTTACGGGCTGCTCGACCTTTTGGAGAGGGGTCTAAAGGTATTTTTTACTTTTCTAACTTTTAAGCTTTCTACGAATTCACTGATTTGGCCCCTACTGAAGTCCATCCCAAACCAGACACTATTCTGATAGCAATTACTAGTGACAGAGGGCTTTGTGGTGCGGCCAATAGCAGTGTAGTAAAGGTACCTGGTTCTTTACGTTACGATCTTTTCAGATAATAAGGAATTTACTTCTTAGTGACCCTGAACTTATGAATAATGCCAAGCTGGTCCTTGTCGGTGATAAGTCACGGGCTCAGTTGTCTCGGCAGTTCCGTAATCTCTTCCTTCTGTCCTTTACTGATGTCGGCAAAAAGTCTCCGACATTTGAAGACGCTGCAATGATAGCGGATGCCTTGCTTCGCAGTGATGTCAAGTTCACTCGGGCTATTATGTACTACAACACCTTCAAGTATTGCCACATTTACTCTCCCAAACTTTTAGGTCCATTGTGTCATATATCCCGACACCACAAAACTTGCTAAACGTTGAGGAGATTCAGTCAGCGCCAAAAGTCGGACTTTATGACTCTGTGGACGATGCCGTGTTGCAGGGGTATACTGAGTTTACCCTTGCTTCACTCATTTACTCAGCGCTGAAGGAAGCAGCCGCAAGCGAGCAATCAGCGCGAATGACTGCTATGGACTCCGCGACGAAAAATGCGGGTATGTAACTTTTCACCACTGATTATTCTCTGCAGGTGATATGTTGGACAAACTAACCCTCAGCTTCAACCGCACACGCCAGGCCGTTATCACCCGTGAATTAACGGAAATAATATCAGGGGCTGCGGCGGTTTGAAACTCCCACGCAACCAAGCTCGTCTGTACTGCGTGTTAGAGCTTAATACACTCTTTTCAATTAACGCTTTATGCTGATATCCCCTTGCTAGAGGTGACCAGTAGTGCGACTTTCAATACAAAGTTGACTTTTTGTAAAAATATGCACCATGCTACCAGAGTTTTTACTGATATGGATCGCTAGTCATTATTTCACATATCAGCCGCATACGATAACGTGGATGAGTTAAACAGGACTGTTGATGTTCAAGTGTTTCTTTCTGAATAAGGAATCTCCTAGAATCCAATTTTATCTTTTCTGAGGCAGACATCATGTATCCAAGACCACACTTCTCGTGGAGCTCAGCCACATTTGTTTTAGTTTTGTGCTCTACTCCGTGTCCAGAAACTATTGCTTGAGTTCTACTGACTTCGATTGGAACCACTGGAATAGCGCATTATATTGTTGTTGCAGCCTTTGGGCATTGTGTCCTGATGGTCGCCCTTCCCCCCCCTCCCCAGTACTTGCTATGCGTTTTGACAGCTTTAGTAATTGTTATTTATCACAACCCAATACACCCTTATTGACATCGTCACGATCGAGCTAAATGAGAACGTGTATCTCGGGCGTTTGTGGCAGATCTGTTGTTAGTTTTGGCCACATCTGCCAGTCTTCCTTGCAAAGCTCCTGTATATGCGTTGGTTTTAGTGTTTTAGTAACACGACTTCTTCGCTAGACGCTGTTTTCCAATTTGGTTCCGGTCGTACCGGTGCAAATGTTCATAGGGCTTTCGCACCATCGGGATGCTGAGTGACCGCGTTTCGAGTTCGGCGACTGGTCATCTGACCTATTTTACCCTATACGCATACACTTGCGTCGTCTGACTGTCGACCAATTGCCCCGGCGCATAAGACGAAGACTAGTAATGATAATTGATAGAATGACAGAGTTACTGAACTGACTTAACTGTTGAACCGCACCAGTGGATTTTGAATTCCTGCTTAGGGAATCCTAACTTGACCACATCTGTTCTTAAAGCCATTTTCCGTAGGTCGTCTTAAATTTTTACTTTTGGCCCTCCATTAGGCCTTTTGCCCGACATACATTCATCAACTCTCGGCTTTCATTCTGACTGGCATTCTCGTCTTTTTCCTTTTTAAGATATTCGTTAATCCCAGCTATTCCACGGTGATCACACACAGCTTCAGCATCTGCATCACAGCTGATTGACTACATCTAGCTTAGTATTCCGATTTTTTGACATATTCGGACTTGGTTACGTTTTGTTTCTTTCTGCTGAAGCACTATGTACCCTCCAAAACCCTGAGGACTTGAATCATGTTCCGCAACTTGTGGAACGGATATCGTCATCAGAAGTGCTTAAGTCCCTTTAACCGATGCTTACTTGCCGTGCTTAGTTGCCATGACAAGGAATTATCAAATGTACATTCTCGTAGTTCGCAAGAAATTCCTTTCTAGAAATGAAGAATTGTAAGGGGAGAGAACTGGGACTTAAGCGCTCTATGTAAACATTCCGATTCAAAACGCCTACGCCTTATTTGCAAGGTTACAAACAGCTGGCTATCGTATGAAGATAAGGTGGCATGGGCGAGAGAGTTTCCTTGGGCTTTCACTATCCCGTTCCATAATCACCTATTATCCCGCAGATAAATGAACGCAAGACACTATAGACAGACGATCTGACTAAAAGACGACAGTAGACGCACCACAGGTGCCGGTTGTGAGACATGCTTTGAAAGTCTGGAGCCAAGCACAAGGTGAGTCGCGTGAACTCCAACCTAAAAGGCGAAACAGGCCAACAGCAGACAGTTTAGTCGTTGATAACTTTATTTCCAAACACCGAATCAACTCCACACACCTCGAGTTTTTCATCCGGTAACCGAAACAAAGCTCTTCTTGGTAAGCGGTGACCGGGTATACGTAGTACGTACCCAGGCCACTGTAAATTCTTCAATAGAATTTGCCGCACTACGAAGCTAGCCTGGTTGTCGCCAGCTGATGCTTGCCTGCGCATGTCATTGTTGCGGATACACTAGTGTCATCCGACGTCGGCAATGCGATCATAGACTTGAAGGCGCCTCAAATTGAAGGGTCCTGACCCCACTACCTTATATTAAGACGACGCTAAATGTGGCCTTGTGCACACGGCCTTCCAGATTGTGTGCAACCCTCCTCTGATGTCATATATCTCGCAAGTCAGCGTGAACTAGAATTGGCACTCACGCACCCGTCGCTGCTGATGCAGCTGCTAAGATAGTTGAATTGATTGACTGCATTGAATTCCTTGTTATCGAAAAGTCAAAGAGTCATCAAGTGCCAGTAGTCCTACAACTAGATTGCACTTTGTAGGTACAGAACGCATATTGTGATGTTACCACTCCTGAAAGTTTACCCGGACTCGATTGAAGCGCTCCCAATGTTGTCGAACATCAAGACAGTGTCATCCGCATAAACCGGATCGAATAATTTTCCATCAGCCAGCACCTCAATCTTTGCTTCGTGGGGTTCCGCAAAGGAACACTCCTTAATGGTATCCACAGCCAAGTTAAACAAACCTGAGGGACTGGACAACGTTTGCGAACGCCGCTTTCCAGAAGAGTGTCCGACAGTTCACCGTAGGACCTATTGCGATCTGTAGTCGATTACAGGGCACGTAAAGTGTTTCGTGGTTATGTTCCATGTGAACACCTTACCGCGCAAGTATGTCGTGCCGAATGACCCGGGTCAAACGCAGTCTTTAATTGGGGAACACAGATATTATCGGTCTGCGGTACATGACACTAATACAACACATGCTGCTAGTGTACGTGGTTACATGTCCTCATCCTCGTGTCTCGCGAATTGGCCGTCAAACTAAAGACCCGGTACAGTGTCCCATATGTTAACCGCTTACATTAGCTTGAATAATCGAGTTTTGCCGTGAGCTTGATATCATCGCACTATACTACTACCGCATTTCTCCACTCACTTGAGTTCGCACGACCCAAATATCCCCTTGTTAGTTTTTCCTGTTTTCTTGTGCTATAGTTGCACTCGCACGTGCGTTGGACACACTGGATATTGACTTGTGTTGTGTGTCCGAAACTAGAATCAGGAATCCTAATGGGGTTGTTAAATTAACTGCGCCCGGCTTTTTCTCTCGCTATTGGTTGCACGCATCCGAAGACACTGATGCGAAACCCATCATACTCTGCTGACTGGCTGGCTGGATTCCGGTGGACAGCCGTTTGTGTGCAGCGCGTTTGACATCGACCAGGGTTGATTCACGAATTAGTACAAGACGCTGTTTGTTTGCAGTTTCCGCTTCTCTTTCCACTGACTGCAGTTCTGATGCTGCCAAGGACACATTTTATCACGAACTGGACATGCTACTACGCTATGCTGCCAGTTCAGATATCATTGTTCTTGCAGGTGATATGGAAACACAATTAAGGCGTCTGAGCTCTTCAGAAAGTCAGCTAGGTGACAATCATAGGCTTAATTCCGGACGAATCGACAACGGCGAGCGTCTGTTGCAATTGTGTGCGGAGCACCAGTTGTTTCTTAGCAGTGCCGCTTTTAGACACATTGGGCGCCGAAGCGCTACTTGGCGTCCTCCTATAGCTGGCTTGCGATGGACCCACATTGACCACATTGTCATAAGTTACAAGTGGCGTGGTTCCATCCTTGATTGCCGCTCGTTCTGCAATACTTTCGTGGACTCTGATCATGCCTTGGTACGCTGTCGTTTCTCCATGAACTTTACCGGGAGTCGCACCAAGCGTCTCCCCTCTCCGGCATCTTAGGAATTTTCAACGAATCATGGGCAATGCTGATTTTCAGCACAGCAAATATTCCCATTGTAATCAGATGAACCAAGACCAGAAATCAGTTCAGGGTTAATAATTCTTTTCGGTAAACTCTTTTCAGACTCAAACGTTAACATAACACTGATTGTGTGGGTAAGCGTCAAATCGGGCTGGGATTGCTTTCTAAGGTGGGTCGCACAACAAGACGTCTGTCGCAGAGGATTCGCGAGCACATTCCGGCGTGGTTTTACAAAGGCGAAATGAGGTCCTCAGATAGTTCAATCATGTCGCACTTCCTCGAAAATGGCCATGCTGCATCTGAGAATGACTTTAAAGTCACCTACTCACTACATGAACGCTTATCGCAAGGCTTCCGAAAGCAAATCTTGTCTATTGCCGAGGCTATTTACATCATCAGAAGCCGGAATTATGTGTACATAAACGATTCATACGGCCGATACTACTACCGTGGTCGACTGACATGGTTACTTAACTACCCTTTGTGACCTTATCTATTTACTTTAAGCCGCTGAAGCTTGTATCAATTTCCTTTGGTGCACTTTTCTTACCATCTGTAGCCGCCTCTTGACCTTTCAAACACCTTAGAAATCAATCCCAGCTCGATTTGACGATTATCCCACACAATCAGCGTTATGTAAATGTTTGGGTCCGAAGAGAGTTTACCAAAAAGAATTCTTAACCCTGAACTGATTTCTGGTCTAGATTCATCTTAGGAATTATCCCAGCCCTCTGTCAGACAAGCCTATCAGGATGCACTGCGTATCGAACTTTCGCTCTTTTGTCCTAATGACACTGAGCTTCAGTGGAATATGATTTTGGTCGCCATGCACGATGCAGGAGCATCTGGTTGTGACACTATCAATCGTCACTGCACCAGCCACTGGATTTCGGAGAGGTCGGTGAACCTGTTGGAATCCAGCAAAACCCTCCCGGTTGGCTCTGAGCTCATTGTGACCAGACGGACTATTAGGCGGGAACTAAAGAAGAGCATGCTTGCTTACAAGGAAGCATGGTGGACCATTCGGGCTCAAGAAATGTTGGAGGTGGGGGCATTAGGTAATTACCGCAAGCTCTTCCACCTTGTCCGCACCACTGGTCTCAAGAAACCAGGTGTCAATGGGACGATTATATATAACGCGGGGCACTGATACACAATAAGGAGCGCCGTATTGCTCATTGGATCGAGCACGTTCCAGACCAGTTCAGTTGGTCCCCTGTTTCCGCACCCATTTTTACTCAGGTGATGCAGGACGAACAATGGACGGTTGGTTTAGAGCCTCCGTCGGAGGTCCGGAACTCGATTAAAGCCCTCAGCCCTTTTCGTGCTGCTGGCCCAGGTTCTCTTCCACCTGCACTATTTAAGTATAGTGAGGTCCTTTGCAAAGCACTGACCTTCTATACGAACATGGTTGAAAAGAAGGGAGCGTCCCGGCTAACAAGTGAATCGATTATAGTGGCAATATACAAGAAGGGCAGTCGCACCGACTGTGCTAACCACGGAGGTTTTAGC